GATCACATAAGTCAACACACCCACTGCTAGTCGCAGATTTGGGAAGAAAGGACATGATCCTTGGCATGACCTATCTCAGGAAACACAATCCCGAGATCGACTGGGCCAAAGGGGAGTGGAGGTACACCAGGTGCCCTGAGAGCTGTGCCCCCAAAGCTCGTAAAACTAATCGTGTGACTGATGAAGAAACCGATGAGCTTCAGTTACCAAGGGAGGAACCCTTAGTCACTCCACTGGACGCCTTAGGAGAGGAGTGTACTGAAAATCCATACATCAACTAGATCTCGACAGATGACCCAGAGGACCTACAAATGGCAGAATTTGTCGCAAGCATTCTGAACAAGGATGTTGAGGAGGAGGATGTGGACACCACTAAGTGGAAGTCTCTCATCCCTGAATATCTACATGAGTTCGGGGACGTATTCTCACAAAAGAAATCGGAGCGGATGCTGGAGCGCAAACCATACGACCATGATATTGACTTCGAGGAAGGAGCTGCCCTACCTCGACCAGCCAAACTATACCCGATGTCTCCGAAAGAGAGGAATTCTCTCGACGAGTGGATCGACGACGAACTCCGAAAGGGGTATTGTCACGAGTTGACACGGCGTCTAGCCGTTTTTTAATTTTTTCCTTTTCGCGGGCTCGAACCCGCGACCTCTGTACTACATGCCCGATATGGACGCGTCGCTATCTACTGTACGATTAGATTAGATGGGGCGGCAGCGCACGGCACAGCTCGGGCTCCGCTGACACAGCCGCTCTGACTCACCGGCCCCCGGGGCCGTGTCGGCATGCTGTGCACGGACCAGCTGCACACGGACCAATGCGCACAGCCTGCCCTTAATCTCCCCTGTATATAAGCCGGCCTCTGCTGCCCTAGGGACCTCAGTTTCGACCTCTTGTCCCTAGGTCAGTAAGCCTCCAGTTGTATCCTTTCTTACATTACTAACTAATACATTTCTTGTCCCTAGCCTTAGGTTTGAGCCTCGCTCACCATCGCTTCGGTGAGAATCAGTCGGACGCCCCCAGCCTTCAGGTATTCCCCAGTCGCTTGACCTCAAGTCGCGACATTAGGTCGAAACTCCCCAAGCTGCCGGCGTCCTCTCAGGACTCCCCACACTCACTTCCCTTTCCCACAGGTCGGGTGGTGCGCACCCCTACGATACCCTACGGTACATACGATACGTAGGTAGCCTTACATACATCGCCACTCCTAGAGGAACGAACTCTTCAACACCTGCACTTCAGTGGGCGGTGTTTGTCCTCACGGACGCGTGGACTAGGTTCCTGCTGCATAATAGTCAAAAGCAGTACTGGGCCCCACGTGAACTGCGAACCTCAGGGTCTTCTCGGGCGCCGTAGCGTAGGCTAGTGTAGTACGGCCATTTTTAGTACGCGCACCTCCCCGTCCTCCCCCCATCCAACGTGGCTGCCTGCCAAGGCCAGATCCACGCATTCGACTCCCAGGACCTCATCGACGTCTACATCCCAGACGGCCCTGAACCTGCCCTCTACCATTGCGAGCAGCAGCCATGCCCAAATCGGACACCCCGATCGATCGAGGAAGATTACCCTCGTTACAAGGCGATACGACGAGCGCAACACCCGCTCGGACCCCGAAGCACCCTCGCATCTCGATCGGCCTCACGGCACTCTCGCCCTGTCTCCCCTACCTCCCGCCTTCCCCAAACTGTCGCCGAGTCCAGTCAAGCTCGAGGAGATCTCCCTTCAGACCCTGCGCCAGAGCCTGAGCCTGAGGAGGGTGACAGTGAAGAAGGAGTCTCGGAGTCCGAGTACGCGGATCCTGCTCGGCCCGCCTCGCCGACAGCGCTCGCCCCCGCGTCAGCAGTCCCTGACGTACGTAACCCCTCCGCCGAACTTCCTCCGGCGCCTTCACCGCCGACTCCGCCGAGAGGCCGCTCGAGCACTCGCTCCTCCCGAAGTTCGGCCAGCGGAAGGCCACCACAGCCGCCTCCGCCCCCGCAGCGTCCTCCGTCCCCCCCGACGCCGATAATGTCGTCCCCCGCAGCCGCCCTCGACAAGGAGACGTTAAAACTCCTACTCCCACTCCGATACGATGGCAAAACCATCATCGACTGCGACAGGTTCTTGTCGCAGCTGCGCATCTACTGGATGGTCAACACGTCGTTGACCACCATCGAGCTCAAAGTCCAGGTTGCGCTAAGCCTGCTCGACGGTGAGGCCCGCGCCTGGGCCACCCCCTACTTCGCCCAGCTCGTATCAGTACAGATAGGGGTGCAAGGGGCTACGACCCCATTCGCAAACGAAGCGGCCTTTGCCGCCGCCTTCAAGGCCCGCTTCGGAAATCTCGACGACGAAGCGGCAGCACAAGTAGAGCTGGCGAAGCTCTGCGCGGACAAGTCGGTCCGTGAAAAACGCACCGCTGCGGAATTCTCCGCGCTGTTCAAGGGTCCGGCGGACCACTCTGGGTATGGGGACCTGGAGCTACGCGACAAGTACCTGAGCGGCATCCCCTCCCGCGTATACCAAAAGATCGAGCTCGAGACTTTCACCACGTGGCAAGACGCTGACAAGCGCGCCACTGAGGTCGAGCAGATCCTCGACATCAGCCGGGCTCGTCGGCCCGAGCTAAATAACTTCTTCTCGGCCCGAGGTCGAGGACGCGGTGGGGCACGTGGTGGTGCACCCTCGTCGCACGCAGCTTCGGCCAGCATCAATGCGGCCGTCGGAAAAGGCAACTTCCCCGGCACATGCTTTGGCTGTGGGAAGCAAGGGTACCGACGCTTCGAGTGCCCCAATTGTAAGGACAAGCCTTACACAAAACGCGCCGACGCGCGGGCTACGGTTGCCTCGGGCTCCACCCAGGCTGCGACAAGTGCCCCCGTCACGACAACACCCTCGGCAAGTATAAGTGCCGCTTCAGCGAAATCCGAGCAATCGGAGCTGGCGGACTTAATGGCACAGGTGAAGTCGATGCGCGAGGAGCTCGAGCATTATCGGGCAATGAAGGAGGAGGGTTTTTGATCCGGTCCGCGCTTCGTGCCGCACGCGTCGGGCCGCGAGTATCATCTTGTAACAAGTATAATGTATTGTCTACTGCGATGGTGTACGAATTGGACCAGGGGTCCCAACATTTTCACATCCCAGTACGACTTCAAGGGAAAAGACGGCATAAAGATATAATCGCTATGGTGGACAGCGGAGCCACCACGAAATTCATCCACAAGCGATTCATTGAAGAGAATAAGGTGCAGACGCGGAAGCTAAAAGAGCCGATTCCGCTCTACAATATCGATGGCACCCTGAATAAAGACGGAAGCATCTCGGAGGTAGCCGTGCTACAGATGCAGGTAGGAGAGCACGTCGAGAAGACGGTGTTTACGGTCACAGACATAGGTCCAGAAGATGTGATCATTGGGTTGGATTGGCTGCGAGAGCACAACCCCGAAATCGATTGGGAGTCAGGCTCCCTGAAATTATCACGATGCCCTGAAACGTGCAGTGCCAGGAAGGCTGGCCGGATGGAGCAAGCAACGACTGCGCGTGATATGGGGGTCAGGCCCACGGCGCGCAGACGCTCGCAGAAGTCCAGATGGTCGGTCATAGGTGCTTGCCGGAGTAAGGTACTCCCGGACTTTGAACCCGAAGAGGATCCGGTGGAGGTAGAGTGGGACGAAGCCGATTTGATCGAAGCCTGGGAGCAAGGTGTCACGCTTCCCGGCGCTCCTCAGCTGTTCGTCGCAGCAGGACATACATACTCCCAGTTGTTTGCTGAGGAGGAGATCAAAAAGAAGGTCGTTAAGACCGCCGAGGAGTCGGTACCTAAACAGTACCACGAGTTCCTGAATGTTTTCTCCAAGGAAGCATCAGAGCGGCTACCCGAAAGGAAGCCTTACGATCACGCAATCGAACTCGTGCCCGGCTACTCGACGTTCCACTCGAAAGTGTACCCCCTGTCGAACAATGAACAGGAGGAACTTGACAAGTTCCTGAAGGAGCAGTTAGCGAAAGGTTACATACGGGAATCGAAGTCGCCCATTTCGTCGCCTTTCTTCTTCATCAAAAAGAAGGAAGGGACGCTTCGACCCGTGCAGGACTACCGCCGATTGAATGCGATCACGGTCAAGAATCGTTACCCCTTGCCGTTGATCGCCGAGATGGTGGATAAGCTCCGAGGCGCTACGCTCTTCACAAAGTTCGACGTCCGATGGGGATACAATAACGTCCGGATCAAAGCTGGTGACGAATGGAAGGCGGCCTTTGTGACTAACCGAGGGTTGTACGAGCCCTTGGTGATGTTCTTCGGTCTCACCAATTCCCCCGTGACCTTCCAGGCAATGATGAACGAGATCTTCCACGATCTCATCATTGGTGGCAAGATCCTCGTATACCTGGATGACATACTCATCTTCTCCACCAACAAGAAGGAGCACGAGAAGGTCACACGCGAGGTTCTTCGTCGCCTTCAGGACAATGATCTGTTCCTGAAGCCTGAGAAGTGCGAGTGGGACGTTCCCAAGGTCGACTACGTCGGCTATGTGTTCGGTGGCAATGAGGTGGCGATGGATCCCGCAAAGCTTAAAGGTATCAATGAGTGGCCGGTGCCCCGGAACAAAAAAGACGTCCAGAAGTTCCAGGGGTTCTCCAACTTCTACCGCCGCTTCATTAAGGACTTCGCTAAGATCTCGCGACCACTCGACCGGCTCACAGGGAACGACCCATGGCATTGGGGCGAGGAAGAGCAGCACGCTTTCGATGAGCTCAAGCGGCTCTTCGCGACGACTCCAGTCTTGGCGCTGTACGACCCTAATCGGGAGACGCGCATTGAGGTTGATGCCTCTGGTTACGCCACTGGCGGCGTGTTGATGCAGAAGCAGGATGATGGCAAATGGCATCCCATCGCCTTCAGATCCCATGCGATGGATCCGGCACAGCGGAACTATGAGATCTACAATAAGGAGATGCTCGCGATCATTGAGGCGCTGGACGATTGGCACCACTATCTCGAGGGGTTACCCAATCAGTTCGAGATCGTGACCGATCATAAGAACCTCGAGTACTGGCGTACATCCCAGCATCTCACGCGCCGACAAGCGCGATGGTCGCTGTTCCTAGCCCGCTTCGACTTCCGCATCACGCACAAGGCCGGGACGTCCAATGGAAAGGCTGATGCCCTGTCACGACGATCAGACCATCAGATTGGCGATGAGGACGATAACACCGATCAGGTGGTTCTCAAGCCAGAGCGCTTCCGCATCGCCTCCGCTAGGCGCGGTCATGCCTCGGTGACGGCCGATCAGTCGCTTCTGAAGCGCATCAGGGAATGTTCGGAGAAGGATCGGGAGGTGGCCGAGGCCCTTGAAAAGGTACAGGACCTCGGGCCGCCCCGGCTGCAAAGGGGTTTTGAGGAGTGGAATGCCGAACAAGGGCTCCTGCTGTTCTGCGGGTGTGTGTACGTCCCAAAGAATGCGGAGCTCCGGCGGGATATAGTCAAGATCCACCACGACTCGCCGATCGCCGGTCATGGTGGTCGCACCAAAACCCTGGAGCTCGTGTCGCGGAACTACTGGTGGCCTGGGATGTCCAAATTCATCAATGAGTACGTAAGCACCTGTGACGTGTGCAACCGTACCAAGACATTCCCAGCCAAGCCCCAGGGCCCGCTGAAGCCAAACGAGATCCCCGAGCGCCCATGGCATATCATCACGACTGATATGATCGTCGGCTTGCCAAAGTCTGATGGATTCGACTCGATCCTGGTTACCGCCGACCGCTTTACCAAGCAGGTCCACTTCTCGGCCTGTCATGAGACCCTGACGGCAGAAGGTGCGGCAGATCTGTACATCCGCGATGTGTTCAAGCATCATGGGGCCCTGGCCAAGGTCATATCAGACCGAGGTCCCCAGTTCGCTTCAAAGTATCTCCACGCGGTGTACAAGGGACTAGGGATCGAGCCGGCGCTGTCTACAGCGTTTCATCCTCAAACAGATGGCCAGACTGAGCGCTGGAATCAGGAGATCGAGCAGTACCTGCGTGCTTTCACAAGCCACAGGCAGGATGATTGGGCAAAGCAATTGCCGCTCGCGGAGTTTGCACTAAACAACCGAGTTCACTCCGCGACTGGGCACTCCCCATTCTTCCTGCATCAAGGGTACAATCCTGAGATCCAAGTGCGGATCAATCCGATGTCTGTGATGCCTGCGGCCGCTGATCGGCTCAAGATCCTGAAGGAGATTCGCGACGATACGCGCTCTGCGCTCGAACTGTCAGCCGAGCGCATGAAGGTGTACTATGACAAGCACGTGCAGGAGGCACCGGTCTTTGTGCCGGGGGACAAGGTCTGGCTTGACGCTCAGAACCTTAAGCTGAAACAGCCGAGCAAGAAGCTCAGTCCCAAGCGCCTCAGACCTTATGCCGTGCGGCGAAAGCTTGGAGACTTGGATTATGAATTAGTCCTGCCAAAGTCGGTGCCGGTGCACCCGGTATTCCATGTCTCCTTGCTGAGCAAGTACACGCGTAGCGATATCCCGGGCCGGGAGCCGGAGGAACCGCCTGCGATTGAGGTTGAGGGCGATGAGGAGTATGAGGTTGAGCGGATCAAGGATTCGCGGATCTTCCGGCGTCAGCTACAGTACCTCGTCAAGTGGAAGGGTTATGACGACTCGCATACGTCATGGGAACCGGCGCGCAACGTTGCCAATGCGCCGGCCCTCATAGCCGACTTCCACCGGAAGAACCCGAACACCCCTTGTCGTCTCAATGCTGCTACCT